CTGTGTGCCAAGTGATGGAGGGAATGCCCCCCTAATTCCTGATGCTCACGATCTCAGGTGCTCCAGTACATGCTGTGGACGTGGAGGGATGATAGGCACACCGCTGCTTCTGATCTCAAGTTCTTCCACCACCGCCCCACCACCAAATCCTCATCCGCAAGGCCCAGCTCATGCAGGTTGACATCGGCATGGCTTTGCTCATGCAGGTTGACATCGGCATGGCTTTTGTCCTTTCCGTTCTCATTTCTCTTTGGGTTTGGGGTTTAGGGTTTAGGGTTTAGGGTTTGGGGTTTGGGGTTTAGGGTTTGGGGTTTGGGGGGTTTAGGGTTTAGGTTTGGGGTTTAGTGGTTAGGGTTTAGGGTTGGGGGTTTAGGGTTTGGGGTTTAGGGTTTCGGGTTTAGGGTTAGGGGTTTAGGGTTTAGGGTTTGGGGTTTAGGGTTTGGGGTTTAGTGGTTAGGGTTTAGGGTTGGGGGTGATGGATTTAGGATTTGGGGTTTAGGGGAAAGATGTAGGGGAATAGACAGGGTCTTAAGTTTTTGTATAGGGGTATCTAGGGGAATGGAAAACAACATCGAAGTTGCTAAATTCTTTGAGATTTAGGGTTCTGGCCTCAGGGGTTGGGGTGTTTTTATTTTCTGCGATAAGACTGTAGCCAAACTCAAAATGACTGATAACCATGATCATCGTTCTAAACAGCAGCCAGCAAGGATCCCAAACCATCAGCCGGAAGCCCTCAACAATACAGCCTAGAAGCTAAACTCTGACAGCCGCATTAGTGTCGAAACCCCAAATTCTCAACCCCCCCGCCCCTCCCCCCCATTTTCGTTGATCTGAGGCATGGCTGCCGGTAAGGAGCCCCCACCAAGTGGCACGGCGCCTGAGGCCACGTTCTCCGCTAGGGATCTGATTCACAAGGGCGCATCCATGCTTGGGTGTCTTACGTATTTTGGAGGGTTGTTTGTTTGGGTACCAGACAAGCTTTGAGGCAGAGTTAATTTTGAATTAGAGGCCTGACAGGGACTACACGGGAAACTTAAACGCCCTAGTATGCTGTTTGATTTGTTCGAAACGGCTGCATGGCTTGTGCCCTGACTTGAACCTTAACCCCTTTGGACCTTAAGCCTCCAAACCCTGTATGAGCCAAACACCTTGAACGCGCAACGGTTTGAGAAAAATCGAAACTCCAGTCATAGCCCTCGAAACCCTGCCCACAGGTACCGAAGGCTTTGGAAGATTCGAACTGCAGTGGCTTGCCTCTGGAGCTCTTTGACTCTGACAGGAGCATCGCGGAGGATATACTGAAGGTGGGCCATCTGCGACATTGGGCATTCTTTTGGTTCCGGGAAGGTTTCTGGAAAGCCTACATTAAAACAAATGGAGACTGAATCGAGACCTTTTGTTACGCTGAGCCATGCATAAGCCCCTAAGCCTAAACCCCTGGGTCTTTTTGAAGCTTCGGCGCCCCAATCCCGGTCCTCTGACTTCGGAATCTTCCTTGCAGTCCTCATTCTGCTTACGACGCAATGACAGATTCTCAGCTTTCGAGTTCATTTTGTAACCCTAGAATCAGTTGCGTGATATCCTGTAGGATCCTGGAGGCTCCTTTGTTCGGAAGATGCGTGAAATCCTGCAGGCTCTGTTGCCTAACTCCTCTATGATCCTCCTGGGAGCCCTTGAATCTCCTGAACCATAATTTCCAGTACAGCCAAATTCTCTGAACATGCCTGTTTGTTTAAAGAAGCCGCCAAGTACCACAGGTTTTTCAGGACAAGAGCGTGGCGGGCGCTGGCCATTCTCTGACTACTGGGCAGGCCGCTCTCACTTTCCACCTGCTCTGATATTGGGTAAAGGAATATGTGGTTAGGGTTCAGGTGTTTGTGCTGGAGAGGGGGGTTCGGAAGTTTAGCTTGCAGTCGTACACGTGAGCTGGTTTAAGAGGAGGCTTGGGGTTGAACCTTCCCCCCAATAAGACAACTTCCAAGCAGCTGCTGGCTTTCCAAGCGTGATGGGCACCGATGCCAAATTCAATTTCAGTTTCGGTCCCGTGAGTCCCTTTTTTAGGATTATGTGAAGGCTGATGGTTTTTGGCTGGTTGGAGTACTTGGTGGGTGTCTCAGCATGGGTCGGCGAAGCCTTCTGATAGCGATTCTCCAAACAGGACCGGCAAGCTTGTAGGCCTTCAAATCTCTTTCATGAAGGGCTCCTGCCGCTATTGATGAGAACTTGCAATAGACGATGGCCTGAAGACACCCTATATACACCGCTAGAATTCTCGGGAGCCACGGATGAACAACGCTCAGGTCTTGGAGAAGTTAGCCGTCAAAATTGCTTCTCACCACAACGACCTCTTCAAGTCCTTGCTCAAGCAGATGTGCGTTCTCACAAGGTCCAAGAGCAAGAACCTAGCTCGGCTACTGAGGAGTTTTGTGCGTAGTAAGAGTAGTAACTGTATTTGAGTAAACCAGGACAAAAAGAGGCTATAGATCAGGTTATCCTGCTTCTGGCTTCCCTCACTTCCACCCATGAGCTTCCAAGCGTGAAGGAGGGTTCGGGTTTGGGAGTCCTTGGGCATCTCTTCATTGATTGGAACTCAGACGCAAGGCCTAAGGCAGCTTCAAAGGAGCAATGTAGAAGCCTGACTGATGAGTGAACATGTCCTCTTTTCATCCATACTTCATGGTAGTATAGTATACTCCAATTTATACTCTAATTATCCAGGTTCCTGCATGATATTTTGGCATTGACTTTGGAAGCCCAGGAACAGTCCTGGATACTGGACACTCCGCAAAGAGTTCTGGCCACGAAGATGACGAAGCCGTGCAGTGGCTCCTGCTTCATGATCTGGGGAGTTTCTCGAAATTCTGCATCTGCTTATAGGTATGTTAGAACTTCCGTTTGGGTGTTAAGGAACCAGAATTTCGAGAGAGACCCTGCTTCTCGGCTCTTGCAGACAAAAAAAGATGTGTGCTCGCCTTGGCCGTGTGATCACAAGTCGCCTGCTTGCCTGGCCTGCACCTTTCTATAACCGGGTAGTATCCCACATTCCTACCTAGTGCACTTTTCACCAGCCTTTTTTCTGCGATGTCGAGTGTATTATCCGTTCCTTCGCTACAGGCTTCAGCTGGGAACAATTGATCCCGCGCCTGCCAGGCTCAGGTAGATGCCGTTGTCACATACACTAGAGCCTGATTAGCATGCGCAATGGATGATGATTTAGAGGATGATTTTGAACCGCTGGGGTCGGAAGAGCCGGATCCCTTGGATGCGGACAATTTCGACGCAGTCGATTACATCAACAGGCAGTTTCCCAATCAGGAGGGGTTCCTCACAGTTGTGCTTTCTCCTTGATGCTTCAAAAAGATGCACCTCATCCCCTCCTCTAATCGTAAAGCCTCTCGTCACCCCCGGATACTCAATATATTTATTCAATCTAGTATATCGTGCTAAGATATTATTTACGGGGTACGGGTCTCTCATTAATGGGAGATACTGGGAGGGACTACTACATTGAGGGTAGACTCGGGCTTTTGATTTGTGAAATCATCAGGACTCCCTGGATGGTCTTGGCAGCTTCATCGAGCAGCTGAGGCAGCAGGAGAGGCAGATCGAGGATGGTATTCGCGGTGCCATCAGAAGACAGGCGGCGCATGGCCGCCGTGCTCAGGCGGACCTGAGTGACGCAAAGCTCGCAGTCCGCGAACTTTTTGAGCGGATCAAAGCCATACGCTCAAAGGCTGAGCAGTCTGAGGAGCTTGTGAGCGATGTCTGCCGGGATATCAAGTCCCTGGACATTGCGAAGCGCAACCTTACACTTACAGTGACTGCGCTGAAGAGGTTAGTGATGCTCATCACAGCCCTGGAGCAGCTCCGCTCCACGGCAGAGTGCAGACATTATGAGCAGGCTGCTAGTTTGATCCATGCGGTAGAAGAGCTCTCCAGCCACTTCCAGGAACTATCGCATGTTGCCAGGGTAGCCGACCTTTTGGAGCGAAAAGCGGCTGTTCTAGGTGACCTTAAACAGCAGATCCTGGATGACTATATGTGCCTGCACGGTGGCATCGGCAGCGCGACGAGGCAAGAAAGCTTGCCCGAAGGCTGGGGGAGTGCCGCCGCCAAGTGTGTGGATGCGCTTGGTCCTGGCATGAAGAGGGAAGTTGTGACGCAGTTCTGCCTGCGACTTTTAGAGGGCTACAAGGACATCTTCCAGCCTCCCAAGGAAGCTTCCGGCTTAGAAACGGCAGAGCGCCGCTTTGCGTGGCTGAAGCGGACGCTCCGGGAGTTTGACGACAAGTACAAGTCTCAGTTTCCGGAGTCCTGGCGGGTGCCCTGCGGCTTGTGCGATTTGTTCTGCCATGTCACACGTCAGCACCTCGTAGAGATCCTGGACACATCACACCACACTGTTGACCCTGAGCTCATGGTCCGGGTGCTGCTGAAGTCCATCGACTTCGAGAACGAGCTTGCCCGGAAGTGGTCCGTAGATGTGGAGCCAGAGGAAACTGGGGGCGCTGCACCTGCTCAGCTGCTGTTGAAATATCCGGACGTCCTCTCCAACAAGGCTGGCGGATCCGGTAGGAGTGCCTCCTCCAAGCCAGCCAAGGAGCCGGCCGAATTTGCACCACGCTTCCGGGGGATTATCAGCGAGTGCTTCGATGCTTACCTGAGCACATGGGTGAAGCACGAGGAGAAGCAGCTGGTAGAAGTCCTACAGAGTTTGACGTCCACGGATAAGATGGTGGGCCATGAGGAGGACGCCGAGGAGGATGAGGACCTGCGGGTCCAGAAAGTAACCTTAGACCTTTGTGGGTGCTAATAACGCCCACGAAAACCAGTAGATTCTCTGGGTAGGCCCCTGGGATATTTAATATTTTCCCTAACGGCTTTAATAAGGGACCCTATATACTAACATTTTTCAAAGGGCTTTTGGGGGCCAAGCCAGATTCTTGACAGCTAAAAGGACGAGTCCCTGGAGCCCCGGTACCTCTACAAGTCGGCCCCTGAGCTTTTTGCGGCGATGAAGGGCAGCATGAACAAGTGCGTGAACTTCTCCACCCACAATACCCTTTTCGACATCTTCCAGGCAGAAGTCTCCCAACTGGGCAGAGTTGGGTGTCTGTTTTTGCGTGAGGACTTTCGAGTTTGACTTTCTTGTCGCCCTGACCCAAAAGATAATCCCTTCACCTGCAACCCTTGCGACCTGAACTCCTAAACTCTAATACCTCGACCCTAGCTTTGATTCGGAAATCCTGGGCCCGAAATATGGACGAACCCCAAAGCTCCAAACCCTGACCCGAACCCTAGACCCCTTGCATTGGCATGTGAAGTGAGTTGAATGTGGGCTAGGATGCATGAAGTAGGCCCCTAAGGTTTAGGGTGTAGAGTTTAGGGGTTAGGGGTTTTAGGGCAAACAGAAACGTCTTAATCTGCACAAGTAAGCTATCTGCGTATGCAGGGACAAGAAGTGCACTTAGCTGAGTGCCCTGAAAGCCGACACTTCCCCCATTCTGGGTTGCTCTTACGGAACTTGAACCAAGTTACCTTGATAAGGGTCTATAGTAAATAACGGGGTTTATGGTAATTTACTAAAAGTCTCTTAACAGTAGTTCTTGATTTTCTGATTGCCAGTCTGACCCACCCTGAACCCCAACAACCAAAACCCTAAACCTAAACTTCAAAAGCTACACTTTCAACCCCTAAGCCTCATGCTGGGCAGTGTAAACCCTAAGCCCTCCAGGTGTTTAGGAAGATCATGACGCAGTATGCAGGGAAGCTTTCTGGTTTGCTTCCAAGCAACGGCTCCAAAACCTGTCTCTTGGAGTGTCCTTAAGGCTTCAAGGGTTGAGCCTTTGCGAGTGTCGGGTTTAGGGTTTTAGATTTGGTGTTGTTAGGCTGGGGGTCCGACAGGATGAATCTCAGAAAGGCCCATCGCAAAAGGCTTGCGCTCCAAGGTTCAGGTCCGTTCTTCACATCAAAGGCCATTTTGGAGCACCTGCGGAATCTCCAGACTTGTTACAATTTTCCTGGCCAACCATCAGACATTTCAAAAGCTCTAATTGGCTTCTTTACAAACTACATCTAAAAATCAAAGGCCCGGACCCTAGCTGGAGAATGAGCCCTTAGCCCCTAGACCTGTGCTCCAAAGAGCAAGCAAGCCTTTACATCCCACAGTCCAAAATAAGACCCGAACGGCCCTAATGCCTCAATCCCCACACCCCGAAATCCTAAATCCCTCAACCCCAAACCTCAAATCCCCAACCTTAAGCCCCTAGAGGCTAACAAAATCCTAGACTCCACAACTGGATCAATGTTAGGGGTGCTTTGTACGTTTTGGGGTATGGGGTTCCTTACAGTTACGTTAAAAGGATCCTGTTTTCTTCCTGGGGTAATGTGGCTAAGGCAACCCTAAACCCTATACCCTAAACCCTGCACCTTAAACCCTAAACCTTAAACCCTAAACCCTAAACCTGATACCCTAAACCTTAAACCCTAAACCTTAAACCCTAAACCTTAAACCCTAAAACCTAAACCTTAAACCCTAAAACCTAAACCTTAAACATTAAACCTTAAAC